TTTCACCACTGCTAAAAATAATGAGGAATCCGAGTGACACACATTTATGGCTGGGAGTGCCATCAGATCCCTTGACCTAATTGAGCATGCCTACACACCTTAGAGTGTTTTGCATAACCAACTTAGACAGCAGGAACATTTCCAACCAGATTGATTGACATATTTTATTTCTAACTTAAGCTTAATCAGGACCAAGAATGATTCATTTATACCTTTCAAACTTTAGGAATTGACATGGGAGACAACCAGGCTGCAGAATCCAGTGTAAGCAATCATGCAAAGGAAAAAAATAGAGATTAATATATTTTATTAGTCTACTTAGCTGCTGCCATTTGATTTAATAAAATTAATAAGCTGGTAGAGGAGTTACTTTATTTTATAAAATAAATGTCAAACTAGACTTTTTGCAGGAAAGGTTCTGTCCCAAATCCATCCTCCACTAAGGATTTACCTGAAGTAATGTACCAAATGTAGAGCTATTGTAAGGTGCAGTCTGATTTTTTTTGAGAAAGCAGCTGGACAAGAGCTCATCTCCCAGCAATAACCACATTGACTCTCAAATTGAAAGAGTTTCCGGCTTTTAAGGAGTAAAGCACCTTCAAATAAATATCAGCAGTTTCCACGTGCCATGCCTTAAACAGGAACAAAGCCTAATAGAATAGATTGTAATAAAAGTGCCATTTCCAGCATGTGTGCATATGGCTGCTCCACGCTGCAAATGTCCTTTAGCACTTTTTAACCATATTCTCTAGTGTGTCAGCAAAGAGACTCCATCAGAGTATTTAACATTGCTGGGAGCAAAGGAATAAAGTGGAGTCACTGTTGATTATTACTCATTAGCCACAAGGACATCCACTTAACATGGGAATAAATGAATGACACCACGTCCTAATGGAAATGGCCTCAGTGTACCTTTAAGCAAAATGTTGTTTAATATCTTCCATTTGCTGAATAGTAAAGAGGCCTGTTGGACATGCACAGCTAGCAAGCGGCCATTGTTGCTTTGTTCCAATTTCAGCATTTAATAAAAAAATATGTTGTCTTGACTGCAGCAAAGCTGGGCCTCAAAACCCTGGGTGGCAGCACAGGCTTGTTCTCATTCTGCAAATTCAGGATTTCACTGGCATCCTAAAGGGTTAATGCCCATAAAGCAAATGAAGCCTTAGAAGGTACATGTTCTTCATTATTCTGCTTTACATTCAAACATATAAAACAAAGAACATCTGATATCTTTATTGGTTTTCTTAGATAAAACACAAGCAAGCTATAAGCCCTAATTTTCTTATTACCATTTGTTAACAAGGAAGATAACACTCTCAAAAGTACTTGATTAGGGCTCCCTTTGATTTGTATCTTGTTATGATTACCAGGGCATATATTTTTGTATTATTACTTTAGTACACTGATAGTTTGGATCAAAATGATAAAAGAGGTATTTTAAAAGTGTAAATATTAACCATACAGGTAAACCACATAATCTGAACAGCATCTTGAACACTGACATACTGAAGTATACACACTGGAAAAGCAGTCATAGCTGAGATACACATTCCTATCTGGAAAGCTGGTAGTCTGAGCTGGAGGAGCCCTTTTGCTCCCAAACCCTTTCAACAGCAACTTACATACTTGACAAATTTGTTTTTTTAATACGGTACAACTACTGAGGATATAGGAGTGAAGATATTTGCTGTATCACATATCTAAAACGCTTGTGATCAGAATCCAGAGCACATATATCTGTTCTTACGGAATAAACCAGTTTTAAGTATCCAAGGGAAACAACAGCACGTGCATCAGCTAACGTGAAAGATTTGGGAGGGTATTTTAATGCACGGTCTGATGCTAGATTATTAAAATGGTGCTGGATCTTTTCCATACTCCTGTGATTTAGCCTGCATAGCAGCTCAGCACTGTTTCCCAGCTCCCAGGGCTCTCTCCTGCCCCATCCCGGGCCGTGATGGGCACTTTGGCCGCCCTCAATGGCGAGCCTGACACGGCCCGCTACGCCCGGCCGGCCGCTCCCAGCACCACGGGCTCTGACAAGTTGGAAGTCTCTTTCTCCTGCCTCCTCCTCCTCCTCCTCCTCGCCGCTGCTTCCTCTGGCCAGCCCCGCGCAGACAGGGAGCGAGCGGGAGATGATTACATCAATCAGTGTCAGGCCTGGGAGCTGTGATTTATGAATATGCATAATGAGCTCTCACCTTTGAGAAGGACTAGCTAGGGAGATAATTGATTAGACAGGAAAAGAGCAGCCAACAGAGAGGGAGAAGGGAGAGGGAGGCCTCTCTGTGCTGTCTCAGGCAGGCCTGGCTGGGGCTCCAGCGAGGCTGTCAAACTGAGAGAAGGATTTCTGAAAAAAAAAGAAAAAAAAAAATACTCGTAGGATTTTTAATGTTTTGTTGAAACACGCATAACAAAATGTTTCCTCACAAAATTAATGGGAATTTTCTCCACATTAGGGAGGCCAGGCAGGCACAAAGGCTGCTTTCCCCCTGCAGGGAAACCAAGTTCTCACTTCCAGAAGCCAAAGGAGCAGCTTTCCCATGGCTTCCACGCCGCTGCCGCAGGAGCATCCCCATGGCCAGAGTGAAGGGAGAGGGCTCTGCGGGGACAGGGAGCTGAGGGCCTCAGTGCAAAGGCAAAGGAGCCTTTAATGGAGGTAGAAAGCTGGGGAAGCAATTGTTTTCCCATCATGGCTGCATTATTTTCTTCCATCCCCTTTAAGCATCTGTCTGGCCGCTGCCTGAAAGTTTCTATGGAAAACCCACCAGGATGCCCAGAGGAAGGGGATGTGGAAATTTGCCTCTTGCTTTCTCTACCCCCACCCCTCCCATTTTAGATGCCATTAATCTTTTTTTTTTTTTTTTTCCTCAGCTAGAATTGGCTAAGGAAAAAGAGGGATACAAAGTGCAGAGAGACTGGATAAAATTTACATGAGAAACGATCTGTTTTCTTACCCCCACCCACAGAGATTCCCCCATTTCAGGAGCCTGTCGGAGCGAAAGAGTGGGAACAGTTCCTGGCAGAAAGACAGAGAGCTGCATGGGGCTGCAAAGAGGCAAATGCTGTTTCTAGGGTGAGCTGTGGCCAGAAAGGACATATGGGGAAAGGAAGAGGACGCAGCGGGGAAAAAGCGGAGATCACAACAGTGCTGCAAACTCTGTGAGTCCCTTCCCCGGCCTCCTTTGCTCCCAGCCATTGCTAACAGCAGCCAGGGAAGCTGCAGCACACACCAGGAGAGGGGTGTCCCCATCCTAATGCTGGTCAGGGGCAATCTTAATTGTGAAACATTAAAACACTATAGAAAACGTGTGTATACACACACACACACACACATATACAAGTCTTATCACTTACAGACGCCTAGGATTTAAAATGTAGTTTATCGGCCTAGTGCAACCCAATCCTATAAATAATACATTCCTATCACTATGACCTCAAAATGTCAATACCGCACAGCCCTGTGCATTTGCATATCTTGTACTGTCTAAACTTGAAGCATGTCAGCTATGTGCTTCTGTTTGTACTTTAACTTCATTTTAACTCTTGCTTCCTAGCTCTGAGCACCCTCCCCCTCTGCGGGGTCTGTCACCAAAACGAGAAAAGCACCAGCCATTTAATCACCACCGCTGTAATTATGCCGTTTCCAGGACTGTAAGGAGAGGACAGGTAGGGGACACATCTCCCCGGTAGAGAGGAAAGCCTGGGGACAAAAGCAGGAGGGGGCGGCCCACAAGCTCTACCTGCCCCATCAGCCGGGGGGACGAGCACGGCCATCCGCGGGCACAGGGTGCAGAGAAGGGGAGGCAGGAGGGAGCAGCCCTCGCCCTCCTACCACACTCCCCTTGGGATGGTTTCGGAGCGCAAATGGACCTTTCCCGGACTGGGCCGATTTCCAGCACCTTGCCGGGAAAGCGGAGCTACAAGCTCTGGAGGCGGCGGCTCCCGGGGCGAGGCGTGCAGAGGCGCGACCGGCACGTCCCGGAGCCGGAGGAGGCGGCCCGGCCCGGGGGCGGCGGGAGCGCATCCCACGCGTCCGGAGCGGAGCGGGGCTCCCCGCCGGGGCTCTCCGCGGCGCCTCGGTGTCCCCGTTCCGGCCGCTGCCTCCCGCCCCCATGCCAAGCCCCGGGAGCGGCGGGATGCCTCAGCTTTGGGCAGCTCACAAATTGTGGCGAGCACCCCAAAACTGCCCCCTGGGCTGCACGACAGCAGGAGGGGAGGGGGCGGCAGAACTAACGCAGCTGAGCTGCCGACCCGCGGCGGCACCACCGACCCCGAAGGTTCCTCTCAGGGGCTCTGCGCTGCCTTGCGCTCCGCGGGGGCGGACGGGGAGGGGGTTAGTAGCGGCACCCGGTAATTCGGTCCGCGGGGGCGAGGGATCATCCGCCGGCCGCGCTCGGGCCGCCCGGAGCCGCGCTCGGACCGCGCACCTCCCGCCACCGGCCGCGCCTGCAGGGGGCGCTGCGGCTCCAGCGATGGCGCCGCCGCCGCCGCGGGAAGCGCGGCTCGGCCCGGCTCGGCTCGGCTTAGCCCCGCCGCTGGCCCGGCACGGCTCGGCTCGGCTCGGCCCGGCACCGCCGCCCGCGCTCCGCCCGACCCGGAGCCGCGCAAAACCAATAACCGACCGGGAGGAGGGCAGGACTGCGGGAGGAAAACAACTCCAGAAGGGGGGAAACGAGAGTGTAGTCAAAGTGGCAACAGTTTATTTATTAGCCAAAAATATATACTTTCTTGTACAATTTGGTTCACACATATGTACATTTTTTACGGTATGTACAAAAACAAACAACAACAACAACCAAAATAAAAAAAAGGGGGGGGACATCTAATTCTCACTGGACTTCCAAAAAAAATCTCACAGCTCAGCTAACCCAGGTGATAGGACAGAAGCGGGTATTTTTTTTCCTTTTGAGTCTGAATATACGGACATGCTTACAAGTTGTAACTATACAGAGATTTTTTTTTTTTTTACAATCATTACAACAACAATAAAAAATTAACTATGATGATGAGAGCGCCGATAGAACCATAGCGGCGTCAAGTTGGTTCTGGGGCCTGGAAAAAAATGACACAGAAAAAAAAAATTTAATAGGATTTCTAGTGAGCTTGGGCTGGCACAATATTTGTAACTGCAGGTAGCTCTGGTTTTGTTGTTGTTGTTAATATTTTAATAGATTTATAAATATAAAAAACTTTCAGAATGACTTATAGTAAATGTATTTAGCTACGAAAACACGGCGGGCCCGATCCCCGTGGTTTCAATCAATCAAAAGGGTAATTGGTTTCTCATTGAAATTGAGTGACTGCTACGCCAAATTTGGGGCGGCAAAGCTCAGCCTCTTCAGCTTTCATACTCTGGGCGGGTTTTTTTGTTTCGCTTTCAATATCATTGTTGTTATTATTATTAATTTTTAATTTATATTTTATTTTACTATTTTCTGCCGTGTCGGTGCCTCTCCCACCGGCACAGCGACAGCTCTGCGGCGGGCTCAGGGATGTGCTCCCGGGCCAGGGGCGACCCGCACCCGGGCTCCGCGGCCGCGCAGCCCCAATGCCCCGAGCGCAGATCGGCCTGCCCAGGGAAACGCTCCCGGGGGCCACAACGGAGAACAGCAAAGAAAATATATAAACAGAATAACCCACCACGCGCGCAGAGGAAGAACAAGAAACCGCCCTGGAAAGGGAACCTAAAGAAGCGGAGAAAATAAGCTAACCATTTACAACTGCCTCCATACATCCCGGGGAGACGGAGGGAGCCATCTCTTACCGCCTCTGCACTGGCTGGAAAGCTGTCTTTAGTAACTTTTTCTCTACTTCCAAGGCACTAGATCGATCTAAAAAGAGAAGGGAAGGGGGAAAAAAAGCGTTCCTTTATAGCCCCTGTTTTATTCCTCCCATCCCTGAATTAAGCCTCGAGATTTAAGAATGCTCTTTTCTCAGCGAGCTGCAAATACGATACAACGACTGCTCTGCTTGCAGAGGTGACCGTCAGAGAAAACACACTGACCCCGAGCGAGCCTGACCTGGCGGCCGGGTCCTTCCCGCAAAAGCGACAACAACAGCAACAAAAATTATCTCCGCTGGAGGAAGGTAATTCTCGGGGATCGAGACTACCCCGGCCAAGAGACCTCCGCCACCGCCCCCGGGGCCCCCGCCCGCCGCCACCTGCGCCCCGACGGCTGCTCCGCGCCGGGCCGGACCGTGCCGGGCCGGGGGCACCGTCAGAACCGCCGGGGCCGGCCGCACGCACACGGCCCCCGGGCGTCCCGCGCCGCTCCGCTCCGCACCGCCGAGCCCCCCGGGCGGCTGCCGGCCCGGCCCGGCCCGTCCCCGGCGCGTCCCTCAGCGGTCACCTGCTCCGACGGGCTCCGCGCTCTGCGCCTGGTCCGCGGGCCGCGGGAAGGCGGCGGCGGGGGGGGCGGCGGAGGCGGCCCCCAGCCCCAGTAGGTGGGGAGTGTTCAGTAAGGCCAGCGGGTGCGGGGGGTGGTGGTGGTGGTGGGCCGGGAATGCGCGGTTGGTCCAGTTGGGGAACTTGCCCAGGGGGCAGGAGGAGACGAGTCTGTGGGGCGGCGGGGTGGGCAGCGGCAGCGGCTGGGGGGCGGCCGCCGGCGGAGAGCCGCCGCCGGGAGACTTGCGGGGGTTGTCCGGGCTGGTGGCGGTCTCGGCCAGCGACCAGATCTTGGGTTTCGGCAAGGAGCCGGCCAAAGCGCCGTCCGTCGGGGAGGAGGCGGCGGAGGAAGAGGCAGACGAGGGGGGCGAGAGGTGGGGCGGCGGCGGCGGGAGCGGCGGCTTGAGGGGCTCCGGGCCCACGGGCGCGGTCGTGGCGGGCAGCTCGCACTTGTGGTGGTGGTGGTGATGGTGGTGGTGGTGCAGGTGGTGGTGGCGGAGGTGGTGCGGCTCGCCCTCGGAGGCCTTGTCGTAGCGCTCCTCGGAGCCGGGCAGGTCCTCAAAACCTTCGGATCCCTCCGAGTCCGTTTTGGAGTCAGAGTGCAGGAGGTCGGCATCCTGTAGATCGTCCTCGAGCTCGTCCTTGTTGCTTTCGATATTCTCTGTGTCGATGTTCTCGAGGTCGATCTCCTCCTCGTCCTCCCTCTTGTCCTCTTCCCCCTCGTGGTCGCTGCCGTAGGAGTTGCCCTCCTCGTCCGTCCTGCTGCGGGGGGCCCAGGTCATTTTGTTCTCCTTCTTGAGCCGCCGCCGCGCGTTGGCGAACCAGGTGGAGACCTGGGTGAGGGTCATTTTGGTGATGATGGCCAGCATGATCTTCTCGCCCTTGGTGGGGTAGGGATTTTTCCGGTGCTCGTTGAGCCAGGCCTTGAGGGTGCTGGTGCTTTCCCGAGTGGCGTTCTTGGGCCGCGACGGGTCCCCGAACTGGTACTGCCCGTAGGGATAGAAGGCAGGGTGGTGGGGGGGAAAAGCGGCGTGCTGCACCCCCGGGCTCTCCTTCAGCTCGTACTGGGCGCCCTGCAGCGAGAGGGAAGGGGCGGCCCGGCTGAGATGGCGCGCCGGGCCCGGGTCCGCTCCGTCCCGCTGCCCTTACCGGGAACGGAGCCCGTCGGCACCGGCGGGGCGGCCGGGCCGCGCTGCCTCCCCCACCGCGGAGCGCCCCGGTCCCGGCAGCCCGGTGCCCGCCGGTGCCTCAGGGGCAGCACCGGCTCCCCAACTCGCGTGTGCACGGCAGGGCCGGCGGCCGCTGCTGGGGCCGGTCCCCGCCACCGTCAAACCCCGGGCGGAGCGGGGGGACGCTGCGGGGCCGCCGCTCCAGCCCTGCCCCTCTCCGGCGGCTCTCCCGGGCAGGGCGGCGGTAGCGCCCGTGTCTCCCCTGACAGCCCTCCCGGCGGCTCCCCCGGCTCCCCCCGGGCCGATCTCCAGCGCGAACCGAGCGCCCCGGGGAGCGAGCGGCGAGCCCCGGGGGCCTCTTACCAGCTGGGGGAAGATGGGCAGCTCTGCGGCGTAGGGCAGGAAGGCTCCGTAGCCCTGGGCGGCGGCGGCGGCGGCGTAGGGCGCGCCGTACATGGAGGAGAGCACGTTGGAGAGGGTCCCGGACGGGGCCAGCTCGGCGCCGCCGCGGGAGCCGCCGCTCCCCGGGCGCTCCGCCGGGTACAGCGGCCTGATGTACTGGTAGCCCAGCTGGGGGAAAGACATGGTGGGGGAGCGGGGCAGGGGAGGGGGGAGGAGGAAGAGGAGGGGGGGGAGAGACGAGAGGAAGAAGGGAGAGAAAGGGGAGAAAGTAGCAGGGCCGGGAGCGGAGGAGGGAGCCGGGTCGCTCGCCCTCGCCGGCCGGCCGCACTTTCAGCGCCTCCCGCAAACTCCGGCAGACATGGGGGGGAGCCGGGGGTGCGCGGAGGCCGCGGGCTCCCTCCTGTCCTCGGCCGCCGCGGTAAACGATCCGATCGCTTCTTTCTTCTCTCACTTTTCCTATTGATCTGAGTGGACCCAGGTCAGGTCCTAACAGATTGCCTGAGATTATTGGGACTCTGGGCTCTGATTGACATTTCTAGTCTCTCACAAGCCCCTCCTATTTCTTTTAAGTCTCTCTCTCCCTCTGCCTCCCTCTCTCTCTCATGCCCAGAGCTCGCTCTCGCCGGGTTTGTCACTAGCTGCTTTTCTTCCCCCCCCCCTTTTTTTTTTTTTCTAAATCTGTTTACTGACGTCGCGATCTTTTATTTGAGTTGCTTTCAAATCTCGTTTTAGCGATCGCCAATCAGTTGTGTGTTTTACAAAGGTTTAACCCTGCCTCATGGTATTCTAATTATATGGAGGTAGATTTAGATATAATTTCTTTCGTAGCCCCCCCCCCCCCCCCCCCCAGCGCGTAGGAAGCCGGGGTGTCATTTGTGAGCAGTACACGAGAGGGACAGGGAAAAGTTGGGACATTTAAAAATAAAGGCTCACACCAACGCCATCCCTCAGTTCCCCTTTTCAGGTTTTTAGATTTACAACCTTTCCTTGCCCAGATTAATTTTGGTTTTTTTATTAAGATATTACTTTCTTCCCTTCTCCCGCTCTGGCCCTTGCGAGAGTTACCTCTTCTAATTCAGTTTTAAAAGTCTATTGCATTTTTAAAAATTTGCATTTTCAGAACTACCTTGAAATTTTTCCTAATGTGCTGGATCTTTAAGGAGTTCTCTACATTTTGCCTGGACTAACAGTGCGCAGATACAGTGGAAAAGCTAAGTTAATTTTCCTCCTAATAAGGGACTTCAAAGTGTTGTAGGTCACAATTTTACATCAAAGGCAGAAAAGAAGGCAAATTAAAATCTTAACAAAGGAGAGACGGGAGCAGCCCTCTGGGCCATTAGTAAATAAGTGGTGTGAAAAAAGGGACAATGACAGGCACTGGAATTAAACTCATTAACACCTTTTTGTCTTGGTGCGAAATCTCTAATTAGGAAATTTATGATCATTTTGCTTATTCCCTCTGTTCTGAATCACTACAAGGCTAAGAAGGAAGTACCTGGTACGTGCAACATTTGCAAAGGGAGCAGTGGCACGGGCTTGTAAGGAGCTATTGGGAAGGAGTCAAGATACGGTTTAATTACAGAATAGGGTTTGGGGTTTTTTATGATCCACACATTTTAAATTACGGTTTGTATTTTGTTATTGATGTTGTTGCTCTGCCCCCCCCTCCTCCTTTTCCTTCTCTGAAAGCAGCGTGAGTTGCAATTTAGCCTTTTAAGAGTAGTTAAAATACAGTTCAATCACGGCGCGTCTTTGGCAAGCGCCGGTGTGCCCTGCTCCGCTGCTGCGGGCAGAGGAAGAGCCTGGGCTGGAACCTAAAAAGTTCACACAGCCTGTGGGGAGAGGAGACCTGAACCTGCCAGCGTTATCTGCTTTTTAAAATATTCGGTGTTTAAATAAAACAAAAAGTTTGGAAGATCTTTTGAGGAGTTGTGGCTGAATGCGAGCTGTTTAACCGTATTCCCCTCTCTTCCTAAATACTCTCTGGATTTATTGCCTTTAAAATATGATTTAGGTACAATATAACCACTGTGCCCACAGTATGGATTTTTATAACTACATTTCTTTAAAAATGAAATTCATGTCAGATTATGCAGTTAAAGGAATCGACCTTGATAGCTTGCTATAATAAAACTGTATCAGCTTGTAATAAATGCGGATTATAGCAAAGCAAGCTCCAGAATTAAAATTCCCTGAATCAATATATGAAAATCTGTAGGAAACATCTCTAATCGTATTAAGTTCATCTTTATAGCATTTCCTATCTGCTAATCTAGTGCAAAAACAACTCTGGGTTGGAGGAATTTATTTTCTTCTATTCAACATTGGTGCTTTTGATAGTACAAAGCAAGGGAGATAAAAATATTAAAATCAGTTATAGGTTTATTTCTTTTTTTACTCAAAAGGAAAACAGGCAGCGAATGCCACGTCCTGATGTGCTTTAAACTTTTCTGTAGAGGCAGCGCCTGCTGGGGCGACGTGACACCGAGGGGATCGGGGGAGAGTTTGGGTGCAGACCACAACTTTTAAAAATATCTACTTCGGGGAGAAAAGGGGCGGTTATGACCCTCGGGATAAATCCATAGCCGTTTGAGGCTGTCGTGCTCGCCACCCTGGTGTCACAGTCGGGCTGTGTCCCCCACGCGCGGGTGCGGGGGTACACGCGTGTCCCTCAAAACTGGACCCGTCTTTTTGTGGCTGCGCGTCTGGGGTGGGGTACCAAAGCTGACGGGATTGTTTTCTGATTTTTAATCAACAGCACAATCAATATGAGTTGTTCCCCGTGGGAGCCGCCGGCAGCGGCGGGCGGTGCTGGTGTGGGGACGGCCGGGGGTGTCCCCGGAGCCGGGAGGGGCTGCCGCGGGTAAGTGGCGGTGGGCAGCCGAGAGGGAGACACCGGAGGAGAGAAATTTATGGGTGAAATGGACCCAGGTCAGGGTGAGGGTGAGGGATGGTTTATTAATGAGAAAGAAACCGAGAGGGAGCATAGCTGTACCGAGTGGACAGGAGGAGAAATCTGTGGGGATGCCGTTCGGCTGAGAGGGAGGGAGGGAAAAGAAAGCGGAGAAGACAGCAAACGGTGGGGAAGAGCAAGAGGAAAGGAGACGTCTTCCCGAGCTGCGACAGCGATGCCCACGGCTCCGGCAGCGGGAGGGCCGGTGCGGGACGGGACGAACGCGGGACCGGAGGCGGCTGGAGCCGGGCGCGGAGAGGAGCGCGGCACGGCACGGCGGGCGGGAGGCGGCGACGGGAGCCGAGCGGGGAACGGAGAGAAGCGCCTTCCCCACGGACGAGGAGGGGAAGGGCGAAGCCGAGCGGGAGTCGCTTTGCCTGGCAGGAGCCGAAGGGAGATGAGAAGGAGCGGCTGGAGCCGGCCCGTCCTGCCGGACGGCGAGAGGAGCGGCGGCGCGGGGCCCGACGGCCGCCGCCCCCGGGGAGCCGTGGCGGCGGAGCGCTCCTCGGCCGGCCAGACACGTGTCTCCTGGCCAGGACCTGTCAGAGCAGGGAGAGCGGGTCCTGATTTATCACCCGAAACACACACACACACACACACCCGCCCGCCCTCCCCCCGGCCTCGCCTCCCGCCTCTCCCGGCGGCTCGCAGCGTCGCCGAGCTAAAACCAAACCTCCCTCCGGCGGCCGCGGGGCGTCCGCGATCCCGCAGCGGGCTCTGCGGCTGCGGGACCGGGCACCCTTCGTGGGCAGCATCGCGCCCGCACCGAAGCCCCCGAGACCCCTCTCGGTTCTGGTCGCTCACACCCCGCCAGCTCCCCTCTCGGCCGGGTCCCGGGGGGACGGAGATGTCCCTGGCCCCGGGTGTCGCTGCCGCAGTGCCCGTCCGAGGAGCCGAAGGCTGCTTGAGGAAGTTGCGGGGGAGCTGTAGGGAGGGCTGAGGGCTCAGGCTCACTCTCGCGGGGTGCGGGCAGGCTGGGAGCTGCCACAGCACACGAGGGACGGGGCGCAGCCAGCGGGGAAAGGGGGGTAAACAAACAAGTGGGATTAGGAGAAGGGCCGCAGTAAAACAAGAGTTAAAAAATAGAGGGAAAGATCAAAGCGCTGGGTAAAAGACTCTTCAAATTACACGTTTGAAGCTTTTCCATAATTCCAAGGCGACAGATAGATAACAAGCTGCACATTCCTTATCACATATGGAATCAATCTGAAAGGAGTCTCTTGATCAGAATCTGTTAATTGCAGTGACATATGATTTGGAAAGAAAACACAATTAATGACCCTTCATGTTAAGACTATGGGACGGGGCCACTGACAATCTGCACTCTGCAGCCAACGTCAACTCAACTGTTATTGGTAGTAGTAGTACTACTAGTAGTAAACTATTAAAGGGAGACATTCTCCGAGCCTCGGCGACTGTTTTGTCTCTGTTCTCGTTGCACGTTTCTTCAGAAGGGGGAGGAGAAGAGAAAGGGACACGAGTGTGTGCGTGCCTTTCCTTCAAGGTTTGGGGAGCTAAAATGATTTAGTACCTTGTCTGTAAATCTAATGACCTAAGGTGAGAAAAAATACTTCATCTTTTATTATTACCACTTGTGGTGAGCGTTACCAGGAAACAGCAGAACCTTTTTGAAATGGTAAATATATGTATCCATTTAAAACCCATTATTGCTGAGATTTTCCCAAAGAGAAATAAGGCAAATCTGCCCAATCTCACTTTCTAGCGCCCTCTGTCCACAGCTCCCCTTGGCTCGGCCGCCGCTTCCCGGGCTCTGGGACCGTCGAGCCTCGGCGGAGCCTTCCTGGGTGCTCTGGGTGCTGTGGGTGCGGGCAGGGCCCGCAGCAAGAGTGGGTGCTCCGCGGCTGCTAATGGGCCACGCGTTCAGTAATGTTGGGAGAGGAGGTAGGAACATTTTCAAAAGCTTTACTCTGTCATTAAAAGGTATTGGCTTTGTTTTAGAAGGGGGAGGGAGAGGTTCATTTGAAGGTTAGAAAGCATACACTTTAATAGGATCGAAGTGAAATTAGTTAATAAGAAAATGCTGGCCAGAAGCTCTCCGGGCTTTTAAGTGCTCTCCAGGCCATTTAGGGAAATTGAATAAGAACAGACTCCGTTACCTGCAGCCCCAACTATTATCTCCAGTTCTATACAGAGGCGAGAAAGGAAAAATAGTGCCTGTGAGACCTGAAGTCCCATACACCTCCTGCCAACCTATTTCCTCGAGAAATAA